TAACTCTGACTTCTTTGCTCTCAGGAACCGATGTCAGCTCTTAAGGGCAATTTTTCTTATCCTTTTTGAGGCAATGATTGGAGCAAAAATTGCACTTTGCATCACAAATCATGCTGGCCATTTAGTGGGCTGTAGAGGAAAATTTTACGCCGATCCATACTGTGAGGTGAGCATTAAAAAAGTGCATTTGAGGTTATATTTGCTTAATAATATGACTATGTAGAAAATAGGGATTCTTTAGTCAAGCCGATCAGGATGAAATCGTTATTGTTGGTTTGATATTGAAATTGATTGAAAAACAAGCGTAGCTGGCAAAAGTGCAACTCAGAGTCCAGGACAATTGATGTAGTAAATGTTATTCTAAAAATAGTACCGCTCAGGCTTCTGATTACAGTATGTTACAAAACTATTGTTCATAATTAATCGACTCATGCATCTTCGCGAACCTATTTTTCACCAAAACTATTAGCTTCATCGAGACTCGATAATACTGAGGACTGCTACAGATACATAGAATATGAACTGGCCTTCCCTGGACATCGTGAGATTAACCTTTGCCCTTGACGACGATTAGGTCTCGTTTTATTTATACGTGAGTGAATACCAAAGAGAAAGTTCTCGCAGAATTCTGCAACATCTCTTCATTGTACACTTTTATAGGAATGTAACCTTCATTTAGCTACGTATTCAAATGCACTAAGTATTATCCAAAACGTTAATCTGAGCGGATTTTCATGAGTATAAAGTTGCAACGTCATAACATTGCTATATGACCTGTAAAACAAAGATTTTTTGCAGTTTATATATACTATATATATATATATATATATATATGTATATACACGTATGCACACACATATTCATTGTGCGGAAAAAGTTCGCTTTGTCCTCCCTCAGACAAACCAGCATCAGCAATAAAACGAATCATTCGGAGAGCCATTGGAATCCGTTCTTCATTCATATCTCCAGAAAGTGAACAAGAGAGGCGTAACTTCGAAATTTTCGGCAATGTATTCGGTGCTTCACTCGCTGATATCGAGTCATTGACAGTTTGCGCCTCAAACGCTCCGGATTTTGTTGAATCTGGCAACGGAAATTCCGAATGCTTTCAGACGCAGTGGATGGACGTTATTTTGAGAAGATTTTCAGATCTTTCGTTTCGAGCGTTTTTCTAAGACCACGCTCAAGTTCTAACATATCGCGTAAATATTATTGGAGCCCACATGTCATGTGGTCTGTTAGATGGACTGACTTATAGAGCCCGATACACGTGTTACGACCTTGACGGTCTCATCAGTCGGGCGGTACATTTCGTCTTTAGTCAATCCTCTTAGGGCGCTCATCACTATACAAGAGTAAGAGGCGACAAACATTTTACACTGTCTGTGAAGTGAAATTATCCCCGATTAGACAGTGTTGCTCACTTGACTGCTCTTGGCTGGTGTCGTCACTATATCATACCTTTTCTCGAGTGTTCTCTTGAAACCACGCTGAAATCTCAACATTTCTTGTAATTATTATTTGGGTTCACAGACCCCCCAGTCTCTATGAAGCGTTTCACGGCTATTGAACAAAGAGTTTGTTAAAAGTATCAAAATTGATGGGAAGATGCTATGTTATTGAGAAAATTGACAAATTACAAAATTGACAGTTTTTCCCACGTCCTGAATATATATAATTTATCACTAAGTAGGGACAATTCACCCGAATGAAACTATTTCATTCTACATAAATAAATTTTATATCTATTTACTAACAAATGCTTTAAGATTCACGTCAGAAGAAACAGTGTTAACGAAAATCTCTACAATGTCTACGGGTTGCGTAGAAGCTTCTGTCGATTTTGTCGATTTCTATTATGTTAGTATTAGCACTGATATTTCTTTTATTTATACTGATCATTTTATTGAATTCTTTGTTCAACTTTAGTCCAGAAACAGCTTTTTTTGTTTGTCTCTTTTCAGGTGTGCTCAAGTTATGATTTATAGAAATCAACGCGTCGCAGTATTTAATTTGCACAAGATTATGTTTTCATATACCTAAGCGAATTGAGTGGTGATCAAAAATACGACCTCAGACGAGAATCGAACTCGCGTTTCATTCATATCGGGTACGCATCTACCACTGCATCACCGAGGCACATTTGCATCACCACTCATTTATCAACATCTCCATGTTAGCTATCAGCCCCACACGGCCCAAATTGCTCAAATGTGCCTCGGTGGTGTAGTGGTAGCACGCGTCTCCGGTATGGATGAAACGCCGGTTCGACTCCCGTCTGAGGTCGTACTTTTGCTCACCACTCAATTCGCTTAGGTATATATGAGACATCATAACTCTGCGAAAAAGCAATAAAAGCATTAGAGTTCTCGAGTGCTTTGTTTTTCGTCGTTATTATTGATCTCATAAACGTAATTATTCCTTTAATTGAATCGATGCATTTGTTTATTCAGTATTTTTTCATGTTGGACATCTAAAAAAATGGCCAAGCTATTACGCACGCTCAATACATGACGTTTTACAAGCGCGATATCGCTGAGATGGTAAGATGGCTCTGCCATCCATTTTATGACTGAAAAAAAAGTCGATCGCGGTTTGAGAAGGTAGCATGATTAAGAATAGGAAAGTGGAGCTGTCCTTTGTGTGATATCAAAATTATAGGAGGTTTGTTGGAGAGCTAGAGGATAGCAGTGTTGGGAGAGCGAAACTTCTCATCCAATACTTATTCATCCATAAGATCGACTGTTTTAGAACTCGTAATAACATTCAATCTAATTCCAAAAAGAATGTTGTAAGCTTAACGAGTTGGCACGTCAGTGGCATACACCGGTGTTTCGGAGGTTTGGCCTCCTCGTCAGTGACCCCACATTAGCCTGCATTGTAGCAGTAGGAAGCAATGTGGTGATGGCATAGTGTACTGTGACACTGGTCCATCACCACTTTCAGTCGATGGATTTCAGCTGGCAGACCAAATTATCCATAGATCGACTGTTTTATGTGGGGCGAGGGTCACTGACGAGGAGGCCGAAACCTCCGAAAACCGAAGTGTGGCCCTGGCGTACCAACCTCGTTTAGGCTTAAAACATTCTTCTTTGGAATTATATTCAATACTTATCAAATCGTCCAGGTCAAACAACATCATACACAAGAGTAATTTCGTATATTCGCTTATATCTCAAGTATGATCCATGCAATCAGTACATGATGGATACTCGTACAAGTTCCAGTGAAGCTTGTTCACTTCTTTCACCCGCTTTTTTGTCTTTACTAACTCAATGCCATAAAATATAATAGACTGGGGAAGAAGTTCTGAGAAAATGCTTGTAACTTTTTCGAGTGCGGGCCGTTTTTTTGTGTTTTTGGGCTCATTTGAAAGCCCGTCTTCTCCCGCGTTGATTGATGTATAATTAATCTACTTATTTCAGGGTGGAGCTAACAAGCGAGCAAATTAGGTCGCTGATGTTACACGAATGGCTGTTGGGTTCAAAGGAAACGGTGGCCAGTGAACGCATCAATCCGGCTTGGAGCGAATCAGAATTTTATACTCGCGGAATGGATCTTTTGCCAAAGAAGTGGCGGGAAGTGCTTAAAGTTGAAGGGGAGTACTTTGGCTATTAGTTTTCTCTTTGTTCGGATGTAATAGGTGTATGAATAAATGTTTGACATGCATTTTCTCAAAACTTTTTCTCCAACCTTTTAGCAATGAACGTGTGAACTCTGTTACATCTACTAAAGGAGAGCGTCAGTTAGCTTAAATATGTGAACTCGTTCACACAGCAGAAGGCATGCCGCCCATAGACAAGCATGACTGCATTAGCACTGCTAAATGAAGCTTGAGAAGTTGGGTAAGAAATAAGCATTATTGTAGTATGCCAGTAAACATAAACAACATTTTTTCATTGGTGTTACTTCAAATAAGAAAGCTGAAAGACTGCATCTCTGAGAAATATAATGGCACAGATATTAGGCCCATGGACTGGTAAGTTTATCTCTAGCAGCAAATTCTTCGTGTTTTCACCAATGGCAAAATGATCAATGACTAGATCAGGTGTAGAAGAAAACTGCTACAGCGTTAGCCTTGTTTTGAAACTAACCAATCAAATTAAGGTTCATGTATTCAAGAAAAATCGATGTCGTCTTCAAATTAAATGAAGCGGCAATATCAAAAATTGACAAGTGCAAATCAGATTTGATAGCGTTTTTTCATGGACGAGTACATTCATAAGTGTGCTATTAGGTTTTCTCATAAGTTTTGACACTAGAGCACTAAACACTAGATTTATCAACTAGAATCAGTTGAATTGATCAAGAGCACTATTTCGCATATGGCGCCCTCAGTCTGAATATATCTGCCACTTCTCAGGCAACAAATCAGTACTGCTTTATGCAGAATTTTCTGAGTCTTCCTTGGTACCAAATTTGTTCATAGTTGCCGCCGCTTGGTCGCTCAACGAAGCCTTTATCGCAATTTGCTCTTCTACGACTACGAATTGGAACGCGGTACACAGACCGTTTTCGGTAAACATCAACCGTGTAAGGGCTCAACGACTTGTGTTTAGGCGAATAGCTTTCCCGCTCTTTGCTGAATTTGTCGTCTGCAACGCCAACTTGAAAGATCAACTGCGTTCCGGACGTTCGCCCAATGCCGAAGTTGACCGACCTACGAGCTGCGAGTTGCTCGATCATCTGCCATACAGTCCGATCTATCTCCGTGACTACCACCTCTTCCGGTGGCTGAAGCACTTCCTGAGCAGTAAGAGTTTTGAGACATCAATCATTTGCGTGGAGGATTGAGAGTTTTCTTTGAATTCAAGCGTTGACGTTCTATGAGTGCACATTGATTTGATGCCTGAGAGATGGCAGAAATGTGTTCAGGCTGGTGACGCACACACTGAATATGTTATTAAATAGTTTTAATTACTTCTGTTAAACACTTACTGTTTACCATTTTAGTGCCAAAACTTGTTAAAAGGCCTCAAAAATCCTATTAATTTTGAAAGCACTTCTCGGTTATAAAGAATTGAATAAGTAAATATTCAACCTTAATCGCTTGACAAAAGTTTTTCATACGAGTCTTTTTGTTATCATTCAGAAGCTTAAATTTTTGGCTACAGCCCTATGCAGCTGGTTTTTCTAAATACCTTTTATAGCGCTGTAAAATTCAAAATGGAACTATGTTTTACATCGCCCACGCGTCTTCATTTTTGTCGCTCGTATAACTCGCCGGAAGCACAAGAAGAATATGAACGTGTAGAGCAAATTTTGTAGTATCTGGATCAATCGCTTTACATAGAGCTCCTTTCAGATCGGAGAAGAAATTCCTAATTGAATAACAGGTGGTACCCTACATGTCTAAGCTGGCAAGTCATCGATCGATTGTCTCGCCACACCGTTAATAGGTTAGTAGGTGAACGAACCGCCAAAGTTGTGGTACTTGATCTTACTCTCTCTGCTACAATGTAATGAAGAGGTTATCCTAGAAAATAATCGCATTGTTGGAATCATTGAAATTTACACTATCGAAAGATTACTATTAGTTGAAGAAAAAGCTCTGTTTGGCGAGATGTAAAACACAAATGTTCTCCTTCTCCTACAGCTTTGTTAGGAGAGCTTCTACCGAAAGCGAACACGTTTTTGAGTACTTCGAGGATTGTGCTATCGAAAGAGTACTAGCACTCTGAGAAGAAAGTTTCGTCCAGCTAAAATTGAGCGAGATAAGAAAAAAACGCGTAGTCGTGTAAAACATATTTTTATTTTGAATTGTGCAGTGTTATAATAAAGACTTCCTAAGAAGCCAGCCACCTAGTGCTGTAGCCAGAAATCCGATATTTTGATTGATCACTATTACTTCTATGAGAAATTATTGTACAGCAAATAAGGTCGAATGTTCACTTGTTCTTTTATAGCCGAAAAATACCGTCTCGAATATATGGCTTTGCATCATTACATTATGTGAATCCCATGACCGGCTTTTTAGTGACCTCGTCATAATTGATAGATCCCCGTCTTATTTACTGAACAAACGTGAGGTTGTTCATAGACAACTTCTTTATCGCAGTTAGCTTGCCGGCGAATTTGGCCTTGCATGAAATTCAGAATGAACAAGTTATCGGCAACATATCCAGCAAACTACTTTTACGACTGCAGCAGAAAGATTACGAGACTAGGCTTTGACTGAAATACAAACATAAAACGGTTTTTCACACACTCAGCAATTTTTGTGAATCTTCCACCGTGAGGTCCAACTGTACAACGTTCACATGGGCTGTTAATGCTCTTGTGTCACATCAAAATATCGGTGTGATATCATATGTCAAAATCAAGCGTGGTCATCCATTAGTTGCCATGGAAAAGAACATTAAGTCTGGTGCCAGCTGCTTCGCCATTGCCATCGTTCTGACCTGCGTGAGACATCGTTGTGGCCCAAAGATTAATCCCTAAGGTATGGTCATAGAAATCGATGCAAGCAGCGTGAATTGCGCAGCGGCGTGTGATTTTCGTTGTTTGATTAGGGTTTTTTCTATGCACTGTAGTATTTTTCAATTTTCTTGTACTACTTTGAGACAGTACAAGTTTCTGTACTCTCTCATATGCTCTTGGGACATGTATAGCTCTTCTATATGAAGCAGAGCTCTAGTTTATTATGCAGTCATACTGCTTTGGCATTCAATCAAATGTATGAAGTTGTGCGATGTAAATCTCGGACCGAGTCTTAAAGAATATCTGTCTTATACAGTACCTGTAGCAGTTACTCCCCTGAATTCCCTGCTTTCCTTTCACTTCTACGCTTATTTCTATCGCATATCATCAAATAGTCAATATTCTAATTCTAGATAACCAAAATGTCAGGCGATGAGTCACAGCAGCCGTTAGCATCTTCTGATGGAGGATGGCTCGTTTTTCAACCTACAGCTGGCGACCGAACTGTGTTTTGTCAGTCAAGTACAGGCGAAAACCTGTGGACGATTGGCAGTAGTCACCACCTTCAGAAATTCCATTCGTCTGCAGATGCTACTTTGATTTCGGCTATGACTTCCAGCTCTCTTGGTTCTGGATTAAGTGGTCATAGCGAACTGTAGATCATATCGTTGTGTAATGCTTATGTGAATAGTTATTGACCCTTACAATATGTAGCTCCTCTCATTCATCTAGAGATTTGGGGTTCGGCGAATCTTACACTTAGGCTCACATCTAATGCATCATTGTGAACAGTTAACACTGGGTTACATGTCATGACTGCTGTTTCCTTAATTGCAGTTATGCTGTTATTGTTATTTGTTATAGGT